TATATTTTATATAATATAAAATGCTAAAATAAACTATCATTACCTTTAAGATAACACAGTTTGGAAAGTGAACTGGTCATAAAAAAGGCATACTTGAAAAAAACACTGAACATCTCTGAGAGGTCAATAGGTTTAATGTTAATCTGACTGTCTTCATAATAAACTAACAAGATGATTCAGGTTAAATCACTGTGTACTGATTAAAATAACACTGCAGTCAGCATTAGGAGGTAGTTAACACAATAGTGACCATTTCCATTTGTGTAGCAAATGATTCATGGCCACATGCAACAAAGTTCAAGATTAAGTCCAAAGTTCAAAATACCTTCAAAGAGCAAAACGAGGGGATCCCGTCCAGATCCAGCAGCCCACAGCGAGCCATCCACAACACCTGCAGGTGGGAAAGTGTGGTTCCCAGATCCCTGGAAAGACACAGCACAGGAATAAGCAACATTCCCCACTGCTCATATTCCACATTCTGACATCCCTTCTATCTGGATGCACTTGATCTTGCGGGTTTTTGATTCTGTAGAACAGACAGACATCTGGAGGTCATCCTTGGAAGAATGACAGCCTAACCGTCCAGTTAAATGTCTTCCTCCCTGCCGGCTGACTGAGCCAGGATTCTGTTTTGCACTCAAGAATGGTGACTCTATAGCAGGCCCAATGACATTCACCTCTAAAGAGTATAAATAAAGCAAGGACTAATGCTGTGAGCCATAAAGAACGCCTAAACATTTTAGTTTGAAGATACTGTTCATAATCATGGGTACATATTTATCCCTAGGCAACAACATTGAAGAAAAGGCAATACACTTTAGGAGTAAGCAGGAAGATGTAGAGGGCTGGAATAAGACAGATCTCCCTAAATTGAGAGATTCTAGCTTATGCTGTACATTGATAAATAATAATAAACAAACTAATTAGTTTCTTTAATTTTATTTTTCAATGGGCAAGTTAACTTTAAAGTTTTTAAGCTCTGAAGTTAATTAAAAAGATTGCAATCTGAAGCAAAGGCATAAGCGTGCGAGTCAGTCTCTTACAGCAATGTCACATAAAAGGACAACCCTTCATTTATATTTCTGCCACATAATGCAGCAATCACAAATTGTGGCTTTTGAAGGCTGAAATTCTAGTATAAAACCAGATTGGCACTTGTGAAGATCATCTCAGTATATGGTGAGTGCCAGCTATTGCTCATTCACTGTTATAATCAAACTAAATGGAGTAACATTTACAATGAACTGCTACTCTGAATCCTAATCAGACATGTGAACTTAGGATACCGAGAGATCAATGCACATGCATATTGTGTGGGCTGGACAGAGGTGCATACTGGCAGCACCTGGCCCACAACCACAGTAACCTACTCACTGGTGTGACCAATCAAATCAGGTTTCTCCATGACAGACGAATCAAGAAGGCTGCAGCAGTAAGCCACTTTTGGGACATTTACGGTCACAGGTGACTAGTAATAATAATAATAATAATAATAATAATAATAAT